GGACGATATTACTTACTGAGGCGCAGGTACATCCAGCTGGCGAGTTCCAAGACAGGATAGGATATTTTAAAACACAGGTTGACAATTCCGAAAAAGTGCAGAAAATACACATCAATAGTTTATTTTCTTTTGCATGAAATGAAGCGTGCGACACAATTGAACAGATTTCTCTAACACAAATAAGTGAGATAGTGTTCTCTTTTTAAATCCTCTGTAAAATTTAACATCACTACTGTAATGATGTGTATATTGAAACCAAATATAATAATCTTATTTATCCATGTGCGAGTGAAAATTAAACCAATATATGATTAGATATCTTGGAGTCATGAGGAAAAGTGATCACCAATATCACATTTGCTGTAGCCTCTAGCTGAGATGTGTTCAAGGTAAAACTTAGTCTTTAGTTAGAAAGCAATATGAATGATTGAAAAAATATGTGATGGTTGAGATGAGTCATTATGCTATGGAAAAGTGAACTGACACCATTTATAGTTTGGTATCACATAACTGCGTTTATCAAAGTATCATAGTATTTTGAAGCAAGTCGGATATTTACTGCTAATTTGAACCATTAAAACAGGTCAGTCAATGATAAAACCAATTATGCCTTATGAGTATGGAGAAAAGCTGTCAGGAATTGGAAACGCTTGAATTAAAGGTTACCGGTACGAGTCTTCCTTCAACCTTGACTCTCGAGCTTTATTCACCGGTTGATCATACTAAGAGCTTACCACACCAAGATTGTCTCAGATAATTTATACAACAATCACTGGACGATTGTTATGATAATATTAATGGTGGGTAGTGGTTAGGAGTGGGATCTAGGATGCGCACTTCATCCTGTTTGGGACTTGTCAGCTGGATGTACCTACCTTCGATTGAGCCAGAGTGTTCCCAGTGGGACTCCAACAAGGGACCGGCCGCTTGAAAAGCCGGGGCGTTATCCACTAGACCAGCAAGTCACGACAACCACTTCTTGTGCGAAATGTGTAGTTTCAATGTTGTTGCCCAGATTATCCCGTCGTGGAGTGGACCGAATTGACTCATTTACAGCATTTTCGATGGAAGCAATTAAATAAGTGAAATAATAACATCCGCAGGTAGCATAATGCAATGAACTGACAAGGTTAATGGCTAATTTGTGACAGGAACCCAGGTAATACAAAATAGCAACCGTTAACGCAATACTCATCACTAGGTAATATCTTAAGATTATCATTTGACTATCTGAGATAGCCGTAGTATTCATACTGGGTGATGATTGAAGGTGAAATGAAAATTTGGACCGCGGCTGGATTCGAACCAGTGAAATAAAAATCTGGTCGGCAGTCGGACGTCGTAGCTCAGTTGGTAGAGCATCGGACCGGAAATCCGGTGGTCGCTGGTTCGAATCCGGTCACGGTCCAGATTTTCATTTCACCTTCAATTATCACCCAGTATAAATATCCTAAAGTCTTGTGAGTTTACAATGTGTGGTAAGGCGAATGCGATGTTGAGTAATACAAACTCAAGTCTTTGAAAGAGAGTACAAATATTTCCCATTGAAATCAATAAGTGAAAATTTTGAGGAAGTGATATCTTGACCGAGAATTTTAACCAACACTTAACATGTTGCATTACTATATCGAGTTAACTGACATAATGATAACAGTACAAACTTGAACAACCGAATTCGATTATTGCTGATAACAAGAAAGAATGGTGATAGATACTCTCCAATGGCTTATTAGTGAATTACTAGGACTTGTTCTGGTGTTTTTAAATATACAGTAAGATAAAATGAATAAAGATGTAACAAGGGCTTTGTCATAAACAACATTATCTCCTATCTTTCTTACATTGGTAGATCGTCAAAGGATTGCCAGGTCATCTGGGGTTTGGTATATTCACATTGGATGTGAATATACAAAATCTTGGTTTTCTCAACGAATCAGAAGGCAAGTAAGAAACATACCACAGCATGAATTACAGAGCTGGTATTAAAACAAAACTAAGTGTCAATTGTATGTGAGAGTTAGTAAGGTAAATAACCTAGATACCTCTAAGTAATAATAATAATAATACCAATAATAACTAATTTCATTACTGAATATCATACAAAGCCTAGTTTATCTTAGAAGTTTATTTCGACAAAGTTTCAAAGGTCAAGTCCATAATAATTCGGTCATTGCATGCAGCCTGATGGTGTACAAAATTCAATAATCCCAGTTAAAGGAGAAATAATCAACTGTTTTATTAATTAAACTACCTATTCATCTGAGATAACAGTGAAAGAAAATCAACAGAAATGCGTTTATGAAATCAAGTGCGCAGATTGTGCCGCAGTATATATGGAGAAGACAGCCAGTCAGGTAAATATAAGTGTAAAGGAGTGTAGGCTGTACCTAAAGCAGATCCCTAAAAACCTCAGCAGAGGTTAATTAGCTAGAAAGCAAATCGGCAATTGCTCTACATCCCACAGAAATGGGCCACAAAATTGACTTTGACGGAACTATGGTTCTTCAAAAAGGTTTTCGATCATACCAAGAAAGATTGACTGCCGAAGTCCTACATATGTGGGCAAATCAAGACAGCTTGAAAGGACGAGACGGAGTACAATTAGCTGCCCCTTAGTGATTACTAATTAGTAAGCAGAAAGAGTGACTCTAGGATTTACTTTCAACACAAGTCTCAGCCTCATTACCTCGACATCAGGAACAACGCAATCTGGATTGATTTGATTCGTTATTATTATCATCGTCATTTTCATCATTACTACAATTCATTTTCACTCTATTCTGACAAATCAATGAAAAATTCGTTGATACCATTCATCCTTATTTATAAATACCAAGCGAACTGACGTCCATATTCACCTCATATGCTTTAATGTATTTATAAAAAATCGCAGAATGACTACAACGTCACCCGTGACCTTTTTGTCTCGTATTTAGAATTAAGAAGAATATAGATTGTAAAACACACACGCTAACCAAACAACAAAAAGCATACACTTTCACACTGAATGATTAGTAATCTTATTTTACAAAGACAATGACTATATGAAGAGGATTGGGTAAGGGGGTTAAATATACGTTTTCGGATCGATTTATATATCCTTGATATTTTAATTTTGATTATTTCCCTCAAAAAGCTCAGACCAGACTTCCATGTGAAACGTTGTAATTATTTCATCTCAAACACGGTGTGACTTACACAAATACAAACCAAGTCTAATGTTAAGATAACAGAATTTGGTAAACTGATAGGTAGAGATGATAACTAATACATACAGCTGTAAAAGATAATTCGGTTTGTAGTTGACTTATTAACAGCTTTGCAACCTAGTTTTGTGTTACTTTATTATGAGGTTTGTTTGAAAGAAGAAAAAACATTCTAATTCAAAAAAGATTGGGCGATTTACATGATTCCGTACAATTTTCACAGAAAATTGCGAAAGTTTTTATGATAGTATAATTGCTTGTATTATACCATCGTTGATTGGACCGAATTGATCGGTCTCTATTGGCATATGCACTTCTGTGCGGATACCTCAATATTACCAGTGTTCTAATTATAGTAAAGATGGATAGTAGCTAGCAGTAGAATCCAGGATTCGCAGAACACAGGTAATATCGAGGTATCCGCACAGGAGCCCACATAGCAATATGGACCGGTCAACAACGGTATAATACAAACAATTATATTAAAAAACTATACCCATCGCACAAGAGGTGGCTATCGCGGTTCGGTGGTGCAGTGGATAACGCCTTGGCGTTTGAAGCGACCGCTCCCGAGTCCTGGTGGGAACAACATCACTCACTGGGAGGCAGTTTTTTGATAGTCTAGAGGCCCTTAGAGGTGTTCATTTTCAGTCATTTTGAAGAGCTTAATCACGAAAGCCAAACAAATCTAAAACCTTGATCACACTGTCGCTGAGACTGAATTCTACCCGAAACGTGAAGGATCATGAAACTAGACCATCCAATGTCATATTCCTGCGTTTAAAAGTCCTCTACCATTGATCGATCATGAACACTTATAGCGTACGCCTCCGTATCAGTGGTTAACTGAGTTTGTATACAATTGTCACCGTGTTTTACTTGAAGAGTCATCGAAGTTGTATCGAGTGTTCAGAAAGTAGCAATACAAATTTTAGGCATTCATCACTTTATGGTATTGGTGTGTGCGTGCACACCATACCATGACAATATTGATTTATAAATATATTAAGAGTGTATGGATAACACCGAGATATGTGAAATCGAGTAACTTTAAAGCGTCTTCTAGCGTTATGTCATGAAAAACTATCTTTCCAGCTGAAACAAAGAAATGCAATTAGTTGCTTCTGAGGTTGCTAAGGTGACCTTCACAGCTACTCCTCTGAAAACCGGATTCATTCAGTATGTTCAACGTACTTTCGCTGCAGGGAACCATATAACGAATGACATTTCAAGTACCGAAATTAGAATTTCGTGAAAAAGACCCACTTCTTCAAAATTAGCAATAACAGTATATCAAGTGCGACCAACCAACAAAAGGTACGCGATGCCCCTTACAATATAGATATAACTGTAAGGAAATGGCATTTGAGATACAGAAGATACCACAGGCATCTCCGAGGTTAACTCCTGTGAAATCCTGAAGTAAGGAAAACAAGTTCCAATTATTTTTTAAATCATTCAGAGCAGTTGTGGTTTCGAACCGAATAATACGATGATATACGGTTGTATAAGCTTAGTCAAAGCCCTATTCTGTTAACTGTCAGTAGGTTGAATAAGGTTTGAGAGACAGAGCTAAATATATGACAGCTACTTGCAGGTCTCCTAGTTTTTCAAATAAACGTAAACAATTATATTCAGACACGTAACAGAAACATCAAGAGGAGTTCGAAATCCTAGGTGTTTAAAAAGTCAGTGGAGCAAAAACACATCATTACTTAAAATTCATAAATAAATGATAAACAATGATATAAAACAGGCTATGCATTATCAATAAATAGTATAATGGTTAATTACTTCTATACTGTCAGGAAAAGCATCCAAAGGATAAATGCAAGCAACTCGTGGATTTCTTTCCTCCAAACTATATTCATTCCCATGTGAAAACCAATCAATAGGAGAGGTACGCCGATTTGTTTTCAGATATGTTGACTGCTTATGGTTAGTTAAGTTGTTAGCTATATTCTGATTTGATTGAGAATAACTTTTCGGCAAGGAGTCACTAAAAATGTAATCGGTTAACAGAATAGAGGTCATTTTTGTAAATGATTCGACATGAAAGATATCATTTGGTTAGAACAAACGTAATTAACAGTTTTATTATACGAAAAGTTATTAGTAAGGAACCATATGAAGATGTCTTAGTATTTTCTTCCGTTACATCAGAACAGGTTATTTCATGAAAGTGTTTATTAGTAGTATCCCCAATCATAATTACATGTGTTTGGCGTGGATCAGTACACCAATCAAACAGAAGACTCACTGAAAGTTAGTACTCTCAAGGATAGTTTCAAGACCAGAATAAAAATTTGAAGACCACAAATCTCACTGGAAGCATTTACACCTATACAAGTGCAGTCACAGTCAGCTATTATTAGTTTCCAAGTAAGGAAAAGCAACCCTTGGATTTCGTTGTTTTCCGTTATTAAATACTCACAGGAGATGCTGGCTCCCAACTCCACCAACAGTACACACACACGACATAGTTCTACTCAGTAAACGTTTGAGAGTAATCAGGATTTACCCGCACGTGATGGTTTAAAGATGGTGATGTTGACCCTTAATGAAAGCCTAGTTCCACAAGGGTGGAAGATTTATCGAGCCGTTCACGTTTTACAAGACTTTCTTCATCCCCAAAAAGTTGGCAGCTGACGAAATCTTAGTACAAATACAGAAATTACATCTACCATCTGTCCACAAAACAAATGAGATGCTTGAATGCAAGACAAGGATTACATATATTCTGTAACAGTTTGCTCTGTTTTACTTTAACTATATTCAACCTGATAGCTTAAGACTGAGAACATGATTGAATAATAAGTAATTGTTGTATGAAGAATTTCTCACATGTGAAGGAATAACCGAAAAACCAATGTTCTAGTTCAGCTCAGTTAGCCGGTATGTTTAGTACATGGCTCAGAAGCAATCCACCAATAACGTGAATTTTCGACTAACGTAGAAGCAGGGTGAAAAAACTTTAGATAGTTAAAATATCAAGACCTGACATTTATACATGGAAGCTACTGACTGCTGACGTAAGTTTTTTTGAGATGCGTAGGTCTCCAGACTATGATTTTCGCAATGTTAAAAATCACTGGAAATCAAGACAAGAGAACGGGTAAATTGAAAAGCTAGATTGCCTATCAGTACCTCTCTTAGACAGAAGGTAGGTAATATTTCGAAGCCTGAAGCGACGAATGTTGTGTTCGAGTCACGGTAGGATGAACAGCGATGTCTAGAGTAAAACTGTATCCTTTATTTCGTTTATTCACCACTATATGCTGATAAATATTATATGTGGTTAATTCTCCAATAAAAAGACACTAACCTGACATATGTTGGTTTTGCAGATGTTTTAGGAACCTCTGAGTCTTGGTTTAAACAACTTTCACTTGTTGTCTTTTGAAAAGACACAGAAACATTCCCAAAATTTCTCTCACTTGTCCATGATGATGTAAAGCAACTTGGCATACTGAGCCTTGGGGAAGAATTGCATATATGATTCGTTGTCGGTTGAGAAGTACTCGTAGACGGTGTATAAACTTTACTGGAATTCTGTTGTGACTGAGGTGAATTGAACAGTCGAGCGAAGCTAAACGAAAAATTAGGGGAGGCAAAGAAAAGAGAGTTATTATACTATTATTGGATTTACAAGGCTTTAATACGTCCACGTTTGTTGCCACCATCTTGCAGTTTGGACATTCGTTGAGCTTTTAAATTATGCGCGAGATGGACAGCTTCTTGTAATTCTAATAATTGTTCCTTATATTGATTTCTCTCAAGTAGGACACGTGCCATTTCTACACGTGAAAAGCGTACACGCATAGATAATGGAAGTTCCTAGAAGAGACAAGCAAAACAAAAAAGTAGGTATACAAAATAATAGGAAATATGAAGAATCAGGTATATGTGATTTTCGTTCTGAAGTCATAAATGTGAACACTGTTTAACGCTCATCCATGTTACTTTCTCTTTTTAGTAGGATTCGACATCATCCCAGTTTTTTGCGCATGAGAGGTGGTCACACAGAAGTACGCATGGATGTAAAATACAGTTGGCGAAACAAAAATGGTTATTACGTACATCTATGACTTAGTGTTATTCACATTCATTTTCAAAATAACACTGAATCATACACACTCAGAGTTGAAGAGCAGAACCGTATTTCTGGTTTTAGATACTACATAACTCACTTAAGTGGGAACCCTGTATTAAGACTAAACAATAGTACCAATTAGGAGTGAAGTGATTAGAATCCACAAGCAGACCCAATGTGAAAAAAGATCAAAGTACTCTGGTCTCAAGTAGTGGTTCATTGGCTTATTTTACTAGAGCTTCAGAAGTTACACCAGTGGATCTATGGATTCTAAGTACTGATAGTCGACACACAAGCGTGGTTAATATCTGATTAGACATGAGGTTGTGTGGTATTTGATGTACAACTACGACAGTCAAACACTGAAATACTAAACCAGATATCCCTAGGAGTTTGACTTTTAAAATATTTCCCCCTTCATGAATTCGCAATAATAATACATCATGAGACACAAGAACTAAGTTCCAAGAATAACTGTAACTGAGCTACTAAACTGTTAGGAAAATATTTGAAAAAATCTACTGTTATAAATGATAATATAATTAAGAGTATTATGAATGCATTCCATTTCAAGTGATTGAAAAAAAGAAATCTATATTTGAAAGTGTTAAAAAAAGAGAAATTGTTAGTTTCAATTCAAATGGATTGTCATGGTAACTTTCGATTTGACATGGGATAGTAAAATACACATATCTAAGCGATTTACTTAAAAGAACAGTTGTAACAGCTAAACAAATGAGCAGCGTTCACAGATTAGTCAACAACAAGTACTCATCAGACCGTTGGGATAAAATGTAAATTTATTGAGGGAAGAAATAGGGGTAACAACTTCATTTTGGAATTTGAGATTAGTTTCTACCATCAATCAAAATTATTTGAAGAACAGAAAGAGCGTATCATGCTTTGAACCGTAAGATATCGTATCGTCTATGCTACCGTTGAACTACTAGGTTGGAACCGAATAGATTGATTAGGAAATTATAACTTTCCTTATAGGATAGCATAGTATTATTCTCGTTTGGTTTTTTCAGAAACTAAGTAAACCTAATGGCTGAGTAGCACTGCGTTCCCAACAAAAGTCGTCGTTTTGACCTTGTGTAGAACTGCGGTTAACTAATCTAGGTAGTCGACGACGAATCAGTGGGTCACGGATTCGAACCTTGCCCCAGATATCTGAGGTTCAGCATCTGAGTACAACCAGTTGCTTTAAAACAATAAGTGTGGATCATATCTGTGTACACCTGAGACTGTGTATGTGAAGCTGTGACTCGCAGGCCTACGCATTCAACGTTTAACAAGAAGATAACAAACTCGAACACAACTCTAGCTACCGAGATCTGGCAGTATCATCAGGTATCACATATTGTGTGGCTAAGAGAACGTTTAGGTGGCTGCTGAGCGCATTTTGATCGATTTTCGAGGAGTGTACGTACACTACAACTTCCGCACACATTTCCAGAACGAGTTTTAATGACAACTGTCCTCAAACTAATCACCTCTGTATACTGATTAACTGTACACAGTTTCATGTCAACCACAGGCATTGCATAACATTTGGTTAAACAGGACGCATGTTACCCTTAACAATATAACTAAACCATACCCAGATGAAATAGCCAATTTCAAAAACAGCTATGTTAAGAGATGTGGAAAACTTACCTCACAATCTGTTGCTTCATCGCCTGGTAGACTTCCATACAAATCAGAATTTTCAAATTCTCGACGTAGCTGACCATTTTCTTGCTCTAGATCTTTAATTCGTAGCAGCATGCTCGCACGATTTGTAATCAAACCATTCAATTCAGATGAAAATTGAAAGTTTTGGCTAAAAAACAAATCAATAAAATACTAATGAAACTAGGATTAGAGATTAAAAAAAAGATGAATATTGATTTTTCACTTGAATAAAGCTGAAAATGTTTACTAGGGGTGGAAACTCAATAATCTTAATATCACACAACCTACAAAGTAACCTGTACATACGATTTAGTAAGAGTCATTTAGTGAACAAACTTAGGACTGATCACAATAGTTCAGAATCATCTGAACGCTAAGCACTCTCAGAAACCACGTGGATATTCGTGCTCTAGACAATAAAGAACCCTTCATGTGTAACGGCTATCGATGCTGTTCGGTCGCTCAAACTTTCGTAGTTGAAGTAGGGTTCGTAACAGAGATCCAAAGGTTGAAAGTTAGCTGCCTAGATCATTGAATCACAGCTCAAATGCATCTACGCTTTAAGTTAGACGCTAAAAAATATGGAACCTCAAGCCGACATAACCTTAAACCAACTTTGGTTTATTATATTTAGGGAGAAACTCTGAACTCTGTCAGGACTTCCAAGTTTAATCGATTGGAGATGCTTGTTAACTATCCAAAGTCTAGTGGAGAAAATAGTTCTACCACATGGTTTCAAGATATGATGACTGATGAACAATGCAGAGAAAAGCTCGACGGTAATTTATCCACCTAAGCGTTTCGGACACAGATTTTAAGTATAGTCTCTGGAAATGGAGGTGAATTAGGTTATGTCGCGAAACTAAAAAAACCAAGGTGGTTAAGGTGACTTTTGCCTACTGCCAAACGATATCTCCCCAAAATATATACGTCACTCAGTAATTATGAGTAGACTTGTGTACCCGGTAATAAGTAACACCTTTTCTGAATGTTAATAAAACTATCTGTTTACTTAAGTCTTGGATGAATGGGGAAAATTCTATCGGTAAGAAGTTGGAGTCTTATATCTAACAAGGCATAATTCCATCTATAAATTTTTCCAATGGATGGAAGATTATTGAACGAAATGGAAGGAAAACGGTACGATTGATATGATATTCAATGCGCACAGTAAACTGAAGAAATACACTAAAATAGCCGCTATTCAACAACAAATATCGGAACCAATCCTAGAAACAGATACAGTGAACTACTCAACCACTGCGACAAGTATAACGACGAAGAAAGAAGAGAAAAACCCAGGAACAAATTTCTCAACAGAGAAAGGAACAAAATGAATAGTGGACTTTTCAGAAAGAAACTTATCCTTTACATAATACAATTTACTTCAAAAAGTGCTGAACTACAATACAGAGAATGCAAATATGTTCGACAATTTCTGTGTAACCTCTAAATCTTCACTCAAAACTACAGGAATAATAGTAGAAAAACAACAAGGACTACAAACCAGTAGGCGAACCGTTAGTGGAAATCAAGTGAAGGATGCACCAACTCAGCACAGCTGAGAAGAAAGCATTGAATCCACTCATGTTAGACAACAAAATGATGATACCGCCAGCAGACAAAGGAAAGAAAACAGTTGTCATAGACTAAGCAGATTATATGAAAATAGCGCAGGAAGTATTCAATGACAAGAGACCTCAAGACAGACGTCATGAAATGTTATCTTTCGATGTAACTGCAATTTTCACGTCAATTAACCCAGATGTCATCAAAGAAATGATGAACATACCCTTCAACAATCACCAGAATCTTAAAAGTATGCGGAAATTACTACTAGAAACTTGGTCGGAGTAATCAATCTGTCGCATGACGTATTTCAAATTTACAGGGTATATTTATAAACAAATTAAAGGAATTGTCATAGGTGCACCAAAATCCAGACTGATCGCTGAAGCAGTGACGCAGAGAAACCATTGAAAAAGAAAACATGTTCAATCTCATCAATCAAACCTTTGAAAGTATTCAATTCACAAAAGAAGAAGATAACGAAGTCGGGTTCTCATCAGTAGAATGCATGATGGAACCCTACAGACCCAAGTGCACAGGAAGGTGACATAGACAGAAAAAGTTTTGAAATACAACTAACAAACCAATGTCACATAAGAAGAGTTATATACAAGCACAAGTCTCATTGCAGCGCTCAGCAACTGCGAAGCCAGAAAACCACCTTTACAAGGTATTCAGAATTAGTGACTAGCTGGTCAACTTCATCATCAACAGAACACACATCAGGACCATTATCTCAACCTTAAAAATGAATCACTTCCTCATATATCAAAGATGTCTCAGAAACTGTTAATCTATTGCTTCACCCATTTGCTATCAGCTAAGTACACAAACCAACCCCATTGCTGCAGAATATTTTATGCAAGTTATATAATCCATTGACCAAAGAAAGCAAGAGTTATATAATCTTCAAAAGTAATTGCCAAGACTGTCAATATCACTACGTTACCCGATTCAATCGTCAGACACACCAAAGAATTTATGAGCAATAACCTGCAGTCAGAAGACACGATAAGTCACCACTGATATCGATGCATGTAGATGTGCACAACCAAAACCTAGATTGAGAAAACCAGGAAATCCTAAACCAAGTAAGGTAAAAAAGTACAATAGCATTCCTAGACGCATGGTACTTCAACCAAATGGTAATCAGTAGACACATGGATATTGAACGAATCCGCGAACTGCTAAGAGGATATCAGCCAACTGGAAACCAGCAAAGTAAATCAATAATCAGATGTTCGGTCAGTAGCAAAAGGCAAATGATAACAATAATTATAAAGATCGGACTATGCTAAAGAACAACAAGCACCAATAACCATCAACGGGAGAAACTTAAAGGAAGTAGTCTCTTTCACCTACCCACCCAGGCAGCATCGTTTCAACTACAGGCGCCACAGACACAGATGAGGATATCAAAGCCAGGATCGAAAAAAGCAAGACAGGCTTTCATTAATCTGAAACGAGTGTGGAGATCTACTGCACTCAGCATAAAGCGTGAACAAGATCCGGATTTTCAACACTAATTAAGTCAAGTCAGTGCAGCTATATGATGGTTGAGAGACTTGGCGCGTTACGAATAGCATTTCCAACAAACTAAAGACATTCATCAACAGCTGCCACCTACGCTCACTCGATACTGAAGATTACTTCTATGGCCAGAATAATAAGAATAAGTGTGAAACCATAACCTTAACTGTAGCTCTCTAAACCCTAATATACAATCCTGAGTTGACCGAAGGTATTCATTCAGATAGCATAAACCAAGGACCTGGGATTACGACAAAACAGTCCTAGTTGCTAAACACCATATTATCATATCAAGGTAGAAGACAGATGAGAGATACGGAAATCAGCACTTAATAAAAATTGGTAGAAAATCATAAGAGACGAATTAGTGGTAAGACAGTAATGAAATTTGAGATGAGGATCTAGATTAACATAATGTGTAGATGCATCTGGGTCATAGAAATCGATTCTGGCAGATAGCAACTAAAGTCTAAAACCACCGATTTTGTTCGTCACGAAGATACCAATCAAGAAGTCGATATTTCCTCCCACTACTCGGACCAACAATCATAAATTTCATAGATTGGTGCTAAGTTTTAGTCTGGTCAGTTACAGCCTAAACTTATTCCAGCTAATATTGTGCGCAGAAACAGATGGTAACTGAGCGTGCGTTACACATGTCCCAGCTATCAGACTCGATGAAGGTTCCCAACTACATCAGTTAACTAACTCTTTCTGCCTAAAACTTAACACTTGACTACTTACGTCAAGGAAAAAAGAACTATGGTCTATGCTGTGAAGACAATGATGATCGAACACTTGAAGCTTTCTCGTGTTCTCTACCTTTAATGATCATGTTTCACATCCATGTAGTAGAACGGAGCGAAATGCAGCAAAGTACACTTGACTGTTAACAGGCAGTCAAATTTAACGGGGGTGCTTTAAATGGCGTAGGTCAGCAAAAGCCATATGGAGATTTTGTATCCGCTCACATTTCGTTGGTCACTGATTTTCCAAGGATAATCTGATTTCCTAAGTAGAGTGGCTAACGCGTTTAGCCTCCTCATTCTGTTGTCGAATAGGGCACCACTGAAAACCAGTCCTGAAATAATAATTTGGATTTGGGTGGTGCGAAACGCATCCAAAACATCTTGAAATTGCCAATTAAAGTGTCCATAAGACTCAATATTAGGTCAAAAAATAGATGGATCAGGAAAGCAGATCTCTTAACAGCACCGGTGCTCAATTAATTCCTAGTAAGTTATCTCTGAAAGCTGAATCTTACCTTTTTAAATCCAACTTTCACAGCCTAAAACATGATTCCAATTTTTTCAAAGACAACATTTAACTTTCGATGAACCTTATAACTGTAACTCCCTCGTCGTTGAAAAAGATGTCATTTCTCCCTACACAGTAAAGATTGCGATGTTTTACATAATACAGCAACAACATGAGTCTCTGAAGTTTTAGCTAGCCAAAATTCTGCAAATGACACATTTGTATCTGATTGATTAAGAAGGATACGATTCTTCTATTCTACAGCTGTGTAATCCAAGTTGATTGATCTGTTACTTGGGTAGTGTTTGGAAACAGTTGAAAGTTTTGGACTGTAAGATCCCCCTAATTATGATTCTTGTTCTCTCTTTCTCTCCCTGTGAGTAAGAGAATTCTATTCCTAGTTAATACAAATTACAAAATCCAGTTCTAATACTAGACATTTTATATTACGAAAATAAAACAGCACCACATCCCTTAGCTTTTCAAGAATAGGACATTTTCTTATACGTGGTCTACTCGACAGCATGACTAGACTTTTTCAGAGTTTGTGAAGACATCTTAGAAATAATCACACCCCATTTTTTATCCATACTACTGCACGTATATCAATACATTTTCTGTGGTATATTTTGGTTGGAAGCTAATTCTGTTTGTTCAAAGTAATACACTTAACGGATTATTAATCGTCTAGGCATAGGTGACTGCTATACAATACATGATACTAATGGGTCAAGGCTTCAGGCAATAGTCATTCAATCTACTTAAAAGTCAGAGATGAATTACTTAGGTCTAGTGCTTTTTTATTCTGTGATCATGTTAAAGAACACTTGTTCTTTTTACTACACTATCCAGATTTCTAGTTAACTATGCAAAAATGTGTTCATCAGCTTGTTCTTTTCAATGCTACATAAGTGTTCAGACAGAAGACATCTAATGATAGACAATGTTGGGAGTGGTGAGCAACAAACATGTTGTGTTTCGTATTTATAACCTCATCTAAAAGTCATAAATTTAGAATAAGACAGAAGAGTATATATCTACACATACATTGATAGCAAGATGGTGTGCACTCATGCAGTAATTCACGACAATAAATCAATAAAAATTAATAGAAACGAACAGAGAATGTACTAGTTACATGAATATTGAATGAATATGACATTGAAATGAGTGTTTTAGAATGATAAAACAAATCACGCACTAACCATGAAAGTTCGTCAATTCGTCCAATTAGATCATTTGTGACTACTTTAAGAGCGTTTCTGAAGTAGAAAAGAAAACTGGTAGGTGAATATCACGAAGTACAGAGGACTAATTATTAAGTACCAACAAATGAAAAAGCTTTCGCAAGACAGATCGAAACAATTTCTCGACGTTTAACAATTCTTCAGTTTATGTCTGTTGGTGAGAAAATCAACCAATGTGAGAAACGTCATGTAAGTTAAAGTTTATTAGTCGAGATGTGAGATGCTATAGATAAGGGATTTAAGAGCCATATTACATAAGTGAATAGGTCGCCAACCACATTTCTTGATGGATACATTTTATTTATTACTGAAGGGTACCAGATAAATTTGATTACCACATAGAAGCACATTCACCTACTTAACTATCAGTTAAAATGGAGGTTATTTAAAAAAACTAATAGGTGTGCGTGAGCTTGAGTTTTCATGCAACTATTACTCGAATGAATATGATCTTGTGACAAAGATTACAAAGTAAACGGTTCAATTTTATCCACAGGTTGCCTGAAATTATCTGGTAGAGAAGTAAAGCCGTTGGAATAGGGAATACGATACCTCATGCTCCCAGTATACTCGTCATACTGTGACAAGACCATCAATAGCATATAGGATAACGGACATGATTGGATAAAACATAAACCGGGTCTAGCAGGCTTATTTGACATCGTAGATAATGACACCAGAAGATAGGCTGAGAAGTGGTCAAAAATGGAAAAACACTCAACGAATCAAAGCGCCAAAATATCACATACGTAGACTACAATGATACCATCCTGGTACTTTAACTCGACTTTATGCTGGAATAATTAGTGAGGAGCGGCGACTAAGTAATACTCAGACGTCAGTTGTTGAAGAGATTCGAATTATAGTTTGTAGGAGGATACGACAATTTTCAATGTCAAAAACTCAGTCTCTAATATTAGACAAAAGTGCACTAAAACGGTGACACTGCTAAATCATCGACATATTTCGGTTAGCATTTACGACTGGATAACATAAGATTGGATACTTTTGAAATGCAAACGCCCAAATGTTGAAGAATCCTTTGCAACCGTTTTAAAATAATGACACTGATTACTTTGACATTGTACTGTTACGTTTGGAACACTACTTGAAGGGTTTTGTTGTAAAAGGGTATGTTTTCAAACATTCCGTTGGCTCTGATGTGCTTTTTTATATCGTTTCTCATACGCCAGCATTCATTACAACAGTGATAAGTGGCGTATTTAACTCAAAGACTGTGACTTTACGAATGTTAATCCTCATGAGTGACAGGCATACGAATATATAAAGATAAGGCATGACTTCTAATTCACTTGTAACCTAGCCGGATCTAAGACCAAAAGCAAAGAACCTTCAAATGGATCATATTTACTGTAGTAGATTGAAAATATTTGAAAGGTTACATAACGGTAACATGATGCAGCGGTAATCAATTCAATGAAAGATCAATAGCACAGTAAAAAGCATCAACATAAGCAATAGAAAAAACCGATGTAAATAGTAAAATACCATATACACACAGAGCAATATATACTTCAATATTTCAAATGTATGTTGATATCAAGAGGACTAATCAGTTAGTTACAGCTTCTCCTTACAGTATCATACAATTAATTATACAAAGTTTTTGTACCGATGGAGTAAAATAACGAACAGTTAGAGTTTGAGTTGCTGTACAGTCTTCAAAGCAAAGTATAATTAACAATTATTTAGTCACCTTTAAGTTTCCAATAGACAGTTGACACTGACTGCCACAAGAGATTACAAATCTTCAATTCACTTCAGATAACTATTCAATCAAACTAACAAGTTTAACTTGGAACAACGGGGCCTAAACTTTTTGTCGAAATGAATAAATGAAAACATTGGAGTCAAACGAATAACTGTGAAAATGGTTTAACTGTCCAAATTTTTAAAAATGATTTGGAATTAGGATGAATTGAATTAATTCGTTTTGTTACATAATTCGTAATCTCTGTGCTCGCCCCTCGTATTTCTCTGCAATAACTATTTCATATTCAGACATTTGTTACAATTGAATCTACTAACCTCGAAAAAAGACTGTATGCATTAGATATTAAACTACGAGCAAAGAAAAGAAACTTCAGTTTTTGACTTTATTCAGATTCATTATAAGCCTACTTGTTCACCATGCGAAGGCATATTTTAAATTAAATTAACTATGGTATCATTAAAAAAAACTAAACTCAGCAGATAGGAACCAGTTACATAGGGCATTTTTAGCTTTACTTTTAGAATATAACTATTTAGAGGGTAGGATATGATCAACAGAAGACCCTAGGTGAGGGTTTTATCATTACTGATACTTACCAGCAGAGTCCTTATAGTCTAGAGGAAAACAAGCACTGTTTTAGTGATAACGGGTGCCACTGATATATTTCTGACAACACAGATTACCTGAAAGAAACTAAGCTGCAATAACTAGACACCAAACTGACTGACAGGCAAAACCAAAGTAGAAGCTCACACAGAAATGCATCGGTTAGAGCTGCCACACTTTACAGAAATACGTATAGAACAGATGAATAGAATAAGACTGATGTCACTGTAGATAGTTATGTGAGAGAATTAACAAACTTAGGAGTTCGAGTAGAGAGCTTTGATAAGCATTATGTGCTTTCTCGGTACTCCCTTCACAGTTAGACACTGCCACAACACTTCACAGCCAACAGAGTCAAATCCCCCCTTCAGGTCAAGAAATATGGCAAGTATCGGTCGCCGGTAGGTATGCTTGTGCAAGAATCTGTTGGAAGTTGGAAATACGATCGATGCACCCTCGACCATGTCTGAAACCTGCATAGTTTTCCCTCGTTTGTTGTTCTGAAGCTCCAGTTAGGCTTTGCACAACTATGGACCCTAGGATCTTGGACATAATATAAGTCAACCAAATTTCCCTATGGTCGTCACAAGAATATTTCTCCCCCATCTTATACATTAGGATGGTCAGTAAACTAGACCAGTCTGATGGGAATACCTCTGATTTCCATACACTACATAGTACCTCCATCACTCGCCATCGTCTTTTTCTTGCCGGTATTCCTTTTAAGCGTAAATAGTTCGTAAGTATCATCCAACGCCGATGCTTCCTCTATCTCTCTCGCCAACCACCACTGCTCGCAATCATTGCGAAGACTCTCGGTCAATTTACGTTTAAGTTGCTCTCGCTTTTCATCATGGTCAGACCAAGCCAGCTGGAATCAGCCTTCTTGCACCAATCACTTTGGATGATATTGCAGAAATCCAATGACATTTGTTAACCTTCGGGTGTAGGTTAACACTTGTCTTTACCGCTGTTTTTACAGCAGACTTATTCTCACACCAGGTCTCCTTAGGATAAGCATTGTTGTCATGTTCGGATAAATGCTTGGCTACCTCTTCCCTAAATGCTTTACTATCGCCTGTTTCCTGCGTCCAGTAAGGTGCAGACATACACTAGTCCGTACTAGTGCGTGATCAAAGTACAAACTGGTACTCCAGAAGGAGCGGCAATCCTCCACCAATTCTCTTCAATGATGGCTCGTAACAATGTGATCTGTCTGTGTTTATCGTTGGTTTGTTGTCGGTGGACGCCATGTGAGACAGTCTCTCCTATTGCCTGAAGTTAGTGCTGGCTAGAAACAAGTGACTGTCGAAGTGAAATTACAACCGACGATCATTATTGTCAATCCGTTGGCATAGGATTCCGTAGATACCACCAAGATGCCTTTCCGATTGGCTCAACTTCCCTACTTGAGCGTTAAAGACATCTGCCATTATAACGACATCTCAACGTTTTGCTTTCTGTAACAAAGTTGACAGCTCATGGCATTCATCTTTTGCATTAACCGAACTGCAGTCAGTGTGTAAGCGGAAATCGCCTAGTCTCGCGATCCTTTCCAGTTCTCACACAGATCCATCCAGTCGAACTGTACATAGACGACTGTTTACCGGAAACCAGTCGACAGCACCTTCTGCTCTAAGACTCAATGCTACACCTACACCAGACAGTCCAAGAGAGCTAGCCACTGGGTCTCCAGATATGCTTAACATGAATTTTGAAGATGTCAATGTAATAACCGCACTCGGGTCCTGTATTTATGTCTCAGAGACACAGCATTCATCCATTGCTAGAGATTCCAGAGTTTTGGCGAGCGATGCCTGCTGTCCGATCTGCTATAGAGTTTGGACGTAGAAAGCTCCTACATGAAATCGATAGCGGGTTCTCAAGAGACTAAGAATGAGTGTTCGATGCTTTTAATCGTTGACAACGGCTACAGAGTGAAAGGCTGGATAACGCCTAAGAGGTTTAATGTTAGTACCAAGAGGTGAAGGCGGTGGAGGATACAGAGTTGAGGAGGGTAAGTGATGTGTGATTGGGTCTTGTGTACTACTGGAAGCACGCGAGTGGTTGACACTTTCCTGCTTCCCGTACCGTGAAAAGGCTATTTGCTTTTGAGGTACCTGGAATAAAAAAAAATTTATGTAACCTCAGAGCCTAGGGGACATCTGCTTGAGGTCGGTCATGTACGGCGTTTTTGATGCCACGACAGCTAGCCTGTAGCAGGAGAGATGTAGTTGAACAAAAGTCCAGTGGTTTCGGATTATCACTAACCACTGATAACTGATTTAAGCCAACATAATGCACCATCTCATTGTTTAAGAACATGTTAAGAGTAACTGCTTTTTGCCTAACCACTATTCAACAGACCTTTCTGGTATGGTAGGACTTTGAGGGGACAAGCGACCACCAGCATGGCCCGTTGGGTCATCGTGATATACAAGCCCAACCACCACATCAAAGTAGCAGCTATTGGTAGGGAGACACTAAGCGCCAAATAATATTATGATTGGCACTAAGCTGTCTATGTCAATTAGTCTCTTTCCGGAGGCAAAAGTATCTTGATAAAAGCGTTTGGAAGAGTGGAGTCAAATCAATGAATCAGTCAGTTGTGTGATTAACGTTAACAGTCGTATTGCATCCCCTCAATGAAATGTTTCTACCTGAGCAACGTAATTGACGATAAAGCTACATGCCGTTTATTAAATGATGGGTAAACATTAATCAATAATACATAGCAAGGTGAGGTTTATTTTTGAATGGAATAGTAAACTAAGTTAGAATCTTTTAGGTTGCGAATATACCTTGTGTATACCAATTGAAGCTAGCAAAACTTCATACCTAGAATTACTCTCAGCTACTTAACAAAAACCCATAGGCATAATGACATCACATTTGGAAAATATACGCTTAATTAATAAATGGCTTAAAAATTATTCATTCAATGAACTGATTAGACTACAATAAGTATGCTGTGAAAAAATTGCATCTTAATCATTCCCTAAAATATACACAATTTTGAGGCCAAAATTACTCGTTATTCTTACTTCGTTTGAATTAATTCTTGATTCTCTTTTATTAAATTCTGTACTTCTCTTCGTACACCTAAACATTATGAAAACAAACAAAATAATGAAATTTTTACTGAATAGACCAAAAAAAAGATGAAATTGTTAGTCAAATGTTCTACTGACCAAGCTAAGACACCTGACTTCCTTAGGTTCACTTTGACCTCCAAGTTCAACGCCAGATTGTAGGGTGAATGATAGATAAGTATACCGATACACTCAGTCATGCCACCTGCTCAACTAAACAGTGATGAAGGTTTTCGATCAACTCTATCGATGTTTGATGGTGGGTAGTTAATCTCTCCTCGAGACAAAAGTACTCAAAAAAGGACTAAACTTCAGCATGACAACAGGTCATCTAAAACCCGAAGATGTCATACCTAGCATAGAAGTAGCATTAAGCTCGGTGGATGCAGGAACTGTTGAATATGTTAGGCCACAGTGTGCGTTAACACTGAAAAGATAAAAGAAGAGACAACGAAACTTAACAAAACTTGAAAATTCAGCTCTGAATAATCTACAAAATCACAATCATATAGTAATTGTTAAGTATGACAAAGGCAATTCAATAGTAGTTATGGACAAATTGGATTACTACAATAAAATTGACGAACATATCAAATGATGAGGTCAATAAACCTTTAGATACGGTCATGAATAAAATTAAGAAATCTGAAGTCGACCTGATGCGTCGAATAAAGCCATCTCTGGGTCAGTCTTGATGGTTTCATTTAATGCCTAAAACTAATAATCCTAGCAGAATTTATGCACTACTAAGGTTCATAGAGCAGGTTATCTCATTAGACCCATAGTTGACTTCAGAAATACCCCAATATATGAACTAGCAAAGTACTTAGCATGGATGTTGTGTCCCAGCTAGCTTGACTAGATAAGAACAGATGCATATACTTTATGTCGATACCAGCTAGATACAAGCTATCACAGCTGAACAGAAAGTAAAACCTAGTTATTATCTGGAAATCTTAAAAGAGTTGGGACAACAGAAATGTAATTCCGAAAATACTGATTAAATTTCGATATCGATTCTGATGCTATGCAGTGTTGAATCAGTTACAACTACTGATACACAAATTTGTGACCATTTACAGTTGTCCCAGATAGCCTGTCATTACAAATACAACACCAAACTTTTACGTGCCAAAATTATTACACAGCTAGGACTTACTAGTGGACGCCAAGTAAATCTTAATTCGCTTTATTAGAATGATATTATGCAGTTGCACACTGAAAGGCTCATTAACAGCTCCATTAGGAAGAATGTGAAATAAAATTGTGTAGTTAATATGTTTGATAGAGTTGCATCTCATTAAGGTAACCAACGATATGATTTTTAACAATTCAGTGAAGAGTGTAAACTTGAACTAAAGAACCCAAGCTATGGTATTAACGTTCACATACTAGGCTTAGTTTATATTCCAGTAAACACACACGTAAGTATGTCAGTTACAATAGATTGCAGTAGTAATCATGAAGTTTAAACTGTTACGTTATTAGTAAAGTTAATATCCCTTGTAAAAGAAACTTTCTAATCTGAAAGGAGGGTCGATTAGCATGTGTTGTCTGCTAAGTTTGATTTTTAAATACCTTTGACAATAATACCAAAAAAGCGTAGATTCAACATTATGATGTCAAAGATATTCACTTTAGAAACGTATCAGTAAGCACGAAACGTCTTCTGATGGTGGTCATAATACGGATATTGAAATGATGTAGCATAATCGAGTGAATCTGAAAGCCACACTACCAACCACTGAGATTTTTTTTGATTTAAAGTTATGCACTCAGTCATCTTGTACAGATTAGTGCAGTAGGCAATGAGCCATACCTATTGTGTAAGGGCTGGTGATACTGCCTGCCTGCCTAAACCTCGGTAGGTGGAGCGGAGTTCGAATCCGTGACCTAATGGTTAGTAGTCACCTCCCTAAACCATTGAACCACAGATCCACAACCCTTGAAATAACCAACTAGGTTTTATCGTTTTGACTGGAAAGTAAAACAACTTAGTTGATCATATCAGTAGTTGTTAGGGTGGCATTTAAAATTACTTAGTATGGTATAATATCGCTTCATTAAGCCTCACAACCAAACTGCGTAATTTGGTAGGAATTTTCGATCAATGGTAAGGATTATAAAGCGATATTGTTTACCACTCAGTAACTTGAAATCATCAAATACAACGCCCATACAACGTATGTTTCGCTTCTCCATTTCTCTTGAAGCATAGACAAAAGGACACATTACAGATTTTCTAGATCAGGTGTACGGTCCAAAAGTGTAAGGTATTGAAAGTAGCTCCTGCGTATTACCCTAGACATGCCCAATTCGTGATGGAAACTAGCTCGAACTTAATTAGTTCTTAAAGCACTCTAAAAACAACTAAAGATGGAAGTAGATAGTCTTTTTCATGAAACCTTCAGAAAAAAATAGCGGTTCGATCATTTTTGTTACTTTCTGCACAAGTTTCTCTAGTACAGACAACATATAATACTTACTAGGAAGGGGATGCATAATTTAATAGTCTAGACATCTAACTAGTGTAACATGAATTAAAACCATCAACCTATCTCTTAGTTCTGAAAATTCAATTTACACATTGAACACTTTGATGAATGTTAATCGGTTGGAGGCAATCGGCAGGAAGCGCTAAGACAACAGCTGTGACTACGCGCACTGAACTAATAACCTATGATACACTTATGTGTAGGTGGTTAAGATTATGAACGTCATAGAGGACGGCATTGCCACATCATTAGCAGCCATGCCGAACAAACCCGAATAAACTGTTTCCAATTTACCGGATCATTGAGATTTTTAAACCTACAATCAACTACTTTTTCTACTGTATCCATTTTCGCATCAACTTGTGAGGCTGTTACTTGAATATCTACTACTAGTACAAAAAACTGTCCATAGTCTCTGAGTTGCATAACTGCAAATCACAAACGTGTTTTGTTCACTAGGCTTACAAATGAGAAAGTCATTTTCAGTAGTACTTTCCATCTATGGACGGTTAACTTATTGTGTCGTTAAACAATAACTAGTGATTTGTATGTGGGCAATGTTGTTAATCATGTTAAGACTACTTCTAAGTAGTAGTTACATTCAACACACAAATAAGTTATCTAACTGGTAGGTAGGTATACATCAACCAATAACAGGGTGGAGCAACCATGTGACCCACGTGAATTAGCATAAAGTGTGATGCCCTTGTAAATAAACAATCGATGGTATGTAAAGTCATACAACTAGTGCAAGCTTTTGGTAAATGAAAACGATAGTTATGCGGATAGATAGAAGAATATAAGTTGATAAGATGGGCAGTTGTGATTAAATCATGTAGAGAAATGTGTGCATGAAGCAACTGAACGCTGTATTATAAAGGGTATTCCGTTTTTCTGTATGTGTGCTTTAAATTCAAATGTGTATATACGTAAACTAGTCTTTGTCAATTCGCACCTCACCTGCATACATGGTGTCGTAACATCAGCGACATGTGTACTGTTGAAGCAGTCACAAATAGTTCACGTAGTATATAAGGTACTTGAATATCCAAACCAGAGGTTTTAATCAAATAAAACTAGAAAAAAATACCATGGTCCCAAAGAATGACGCTTGAGTATTAATTCTCAGACAGTTCTACAAATGTGCCAGGCCTAACACAAAATAGGACTTTTATACGCAGTGAAAAACTTGGTGATTCCATCCACGATGAACGATGAATACCGCAATGAAAGGTAGAGTTATCCGTCAATGGAACTTGAATATTTATAACAATACGGCAGCATTCCACTGTTGGATTTCTGTATCCAATGCAGTCTAAGCATGATGGATTAGAACTGTGAGACCCCGACGTTTTCAAAATACTTTTATATCTTAACTATGTCTTTCCAAAACGTTTGTTTTGACCATGAACTGTTATTAGATAGTAGGATGGACAATTAGTGCTTTGAATTAAACGGTGGTGCTTGGTCAGGAACTCTTACCGATGCTAATACATTGTGACAGTCTAGCACAACAGTAATATTCAGTTTCAAAACATGGAAAGGTATGTTTTAGGAGTGAGTCAGTCAAAACCATTACAATGTGATAATATTTGAGGTCATCTACAGAACAGACAGCTTTAGGAAGCACACCATCTATCTTACGACACCCTTTCTCGATATTGTTTCCTAGAAAAACCATATGCAAAACTTCTATATCCTAAGAATAACTTTTCCAATTTGTGTATATACTTAATATCTAATAAAACATATCATGGTAAAATATTGTCAAGGTGGAACTGAGGCGAAAGTACGTATTCACTCAGCTGTTCGTTCTTTTTCAGTGCGTTCTGTGCTACTGATAGTAAGTGACTAAAACAAAAGTTAACATTTGAGGTCATATATATATATATATATATATATATATATATATATATATATGAGCAGACTTAACTTTTGTATGAAACAGAATAAAGAAGTTCCTACGATTAGCTATGCACTATAAACTTTAAAAATGAACTAAGAAGAAGATTTTTTCATGACTGGTTACGTAACTTGTCAGGATGACTTCGATTGGTTGCTTTCTGTAGTTGTTATGTGGTTGAATGAACATATTTCGATTGATTTTGCTGACCTGACTTGTAGTCCTACGCATTGTTGAGTAAATTGTTTCTATGTTTATCAATACCATGTCTCCATTTCTTACTGATGATATGAATATGCATAAAATTCCAGCGTCAAAATCTGAACGAAATCACTGACTTGTGTACAACAACATACTTACAAGCTAGTGATAAAATGTATAATTAGGCGAAAGGAAATACTAAAGGGTTACCGATATCTATATCAGCTGTCATAATAGTAGTGCAGAGACTCGAAAACACTCTCTTACGAGTGAAAGAAAGGAAAATTTGTATCTGTTACACAGACAAGAAAAAGGGGGATTCATGACTACACCAATCAGCTAAGAGAATACAACACCGTCTAATGTCTTCTACACGTAGACAAAAGGGTGCACAGAAACAAGAAAAAATTCACTAATAGCTTCTTCAATGGTTTCTAACAACAAAATAATCAACCATAACGTTGAGCGACTTGAGGGAAAAACAATTGGGCAAATGAGTTTTAGGGAGCAATTAGGGGTATACAATGTGGTCTGTTTTCATCCGCTACTTAGTTAAGTCCCATTTAGTAAAACATACGAAAACAAGTGAAGGGTAGGCAAATAGTGTTCAATGATAAAAGAAATGATGCACCTAGTGTAATCTAATTCATGCTAGTCAACAACTATGTAAACGTCTGTACATCAGGCCATGCACCATACCTATCGTGTGAGGGCTGTTGATATTACTTGGTTGCTCGAAATTCGGCAATCTAAAACCGCGGATTATCTAGGTCAATGAGCTACAGTCCTCAACAAATACGACCGTGAAAGACTGAGCAACAACTACTTAAAAAACAGATTTACTAACAGAGTAAAGCATATATTTATAAAACACCCTTTTAGATCGATAACGTGTACGCTAAACAACACAGATTTCATTGTATTCATAAAACTGACCATTTACATTCGAAAAGACATGCTTCATGAAACACAGTATTATTTACTTGATGAAGTTTCGGGCATAAATTATTGCTTATAATCATATCAGTCATAATCATATTGTATAATCATATCACATTACATTGGTGTGATTATGAGCAATAATTTATGCTCGAAACGTCATCAAGTAAATAATACTAGATCACTGTGTGTTGTAAATCAAATAAACAAATCTAATATGGAATTAAATTCTATCACAGTGCCCAAATTTTACACCACATTAATGCTTCATGAAATTTTTTGAAAGTCATACAGGTATACAAGCGTATATTCAAAGTGCTGATTCTCCGAAACTTCACTAAATTAGTTAACACCGATAGGAAACGACTTTCTCTTATCAAATTTTTATCTGAAATATTCAACTCTAAAGATCATTCAATGATGGTTAACTCTGACATACAAACGAACATAAATATAGATGAATACTTCTAATCATGAACACGCAATTATTCACACCTATTACGTGACGATTGATAATACTATCTGATTGATCAGACGTCAACAGATTAAGTGGGGTTCGAATTCACTAGTCACTGGTTAAAAGTCTGCTACCTAGACGAATGAGCTACAGCTGCACAAACTTATATGGACGAGAAGATAGGCTTCAGTTTGCCACTGATGAATTAAATACTTCAATTTAGACTTCTTGACTAAGATGAGATGACATGAGCGTAATTATCATTTGACTATCTGAGATAGCCATAGTTTGGCAGACTAGTATTTATACTGAGTGATGATTAAAGGTGAGATGAAAATTTGGACCACAGCCAGATTCGAACCAGAGACCACCGGGTTTCCGATCCCATGTTCTACCAACTGAGCTACGACTGTAATTGTTAAATGACTTTCTTATCTGATATCTCTGAATGCGTTGATGGCAGTGATTATCATAGACAACTACATTTATTTCAATGGTTCATAAAGGAATTGACGAGTTCAAACTCACTGATTGAAATGAGGACGATTTTTCCTGAACCACTCAGCTACTTACATTTAGAGAAGGATTCATGATAATTGTTCAGTGTTCTCCGAGCTTTGAAGTTTCTTCTTGAACGTTTCATCACCAGGCTATGGGATTCATCAACATCTACATCAAACAATTATCATCATTCTTACCTAGGGATACAAATCTTCGCTACTATCTCAGAACGATTGGTCTTCCCTACCAGATGAATATCCATAGGTTTTACTACCTTCAGAGAACCGTTTTGCTAAATGACTGGTTAGCCTACTATGTTTTTCCTGGAAAAGATTTCTTTGTCGGTTCAAATTAGACCCTAACCCGGAAGTAATAACAGATTATAAGTATCCTTAGGGAGTTGATCTACTTGACATTGTTAAGTTTCTCTGATAGTTCATTATGGTGTTGACATGTCTACGGACTGAATCCCAGACTCAGAATTGATTCAGTCTAAGCATTCAGATGAATGCTTAGGTGAAAAAGCATTTCACCACTGGTAAAGTTTCATACGTTAATTTAGCCACACGAAAATGCATAGACAAAATAAAAATTGGGAAGAACAATAAAAATTTACGTATAAAACTATCAAACAACAATAAGCAAAGGAAAAAAACACAATTATGTCTATTCAAAATCATGTACACATAAACACATGCAAATCGAATGAGCACAGGCAGATAAGCCGTAGTGTACACATATCGAACACATAAGAAGATTAGATAAATAACTAACCGGATTTAAAAAAAATAAGTAAACAAACAAATATATGCACACAACTATACACCACAGACAGCATTTACGTTTTTGTGTAAATTAAAACAACACTGAAATACTCACCAGCATAGTCAGTAAGATCACCGTCTACATCCAGTTCAACAGATTCTATAGGAATTATGCAAAAATGACCAATTCGAATGCTTACATGTTAGATAATACTTGGAACTAATTGACTAAGTTGTATGCAATAGAATGAATGGAAAGTAAGTAAACTGTCTGGAAACATATACAAAGTATTTTTGGAGAAAAGAAATTACATACTTTTATTGTATTGCTTCAGTTAGCAATTTAATCTTTCAAATGAATTTAGATGACTATAAGTACTGAACGTAGAATAATAAAAATTGTCCATAGTGGAACTAGTATTACACAATTATACTTTATTTATTATTCCCTCAGCTAGGATCAAAGTGCCGTACTTCAGATGAGCATGAATGTAGTGTGTGCTGCTGATCAGAAAGGATATAAGTAGTATATGTTGATAGGCTGGCAGAAATCATAGGCAATTACCAGCAATGGGTAAAGATTCTGCTCAGAGAAACGCAAGAGACAATGTGGGCGTATTAAGAGCAAATCAAGATAGGAGCAGAAGAGGAAATGAAGCACATTGTGCAAATGACTGTCTTAGTGGAAAGTGTATAATATTTGACGACTATTGTACAAGATGTCAATACAAAACATTCCTTCCTGTATCTCAGTCTTCTTGTTTCCTAGATGAACACCTGCAAGAAGATGCCTAGATTATTGTGTGAGTTTCAAGAAAAGTGAAATTTTATTTGTACTTCAGTTCACTGAAAAGAAAACACTTCTGAAAAAGACAAACGTTTGCCAGATGAGAAGCAGTACAAACAATCACCATAAGACTAGTTGAAAATCAAACTTTTGCTGGTCAGATAATTATGAGATAAACGCTCTTCAAATTGCAGAATAGAAGTTAAGACAATACACGTTAGTAAATATCGCTTAGGTGATTTATGATGGAATAGTAAACATAAAACAAACATTCAAGCTCTCAGCATCACACGACATTTAGAATTTCCCCAAAAAACATACCATTTAAATGTCCCGCTTTTTCAGTTTTCTAAGATCTGATATATTTGTTTTGAAGGTTATTCCACAATACAGTCAGTACGTAAACCCATAAAAAATATCCTAGATAGTCATTAAAGCCACTGAAAGATAAGTAGCAGAAAATTTCCCACTGATCGGCCTAGTGCAGAAATCAAGTACCATCCACAAAGACTTTTCAATGTAAAGAGACAATAGGTAATATAACTTCAAGTGATTGACTACATAAGGATGTCTGAAGTATCTAGTGAAGTGTTTTGTGTTCAGAATGTGAATGACAACTCTTAATTTTGAGAGTATTATTACGAATTGAAGCAGCTCGTAAACGGTGGACATATAAACCAACATCAACGACACAGGACCTAGAATAGTTGTACATCATTCAAAGTTGACACGTCCATGTTCATACAGTGAAGCGAAACATACAAAATTGAAGACAAAATGTAAACAGTGATATCAACACTCATAAAGAGAATCGGAAGGCAAAAAGGAGAATAAGAGGTAGATAACAATAACATTGATCATACTTTTAATAATAATAATGTCCAAAGTTTAGAGGCGGATTCATTCACCGTAATTGGTTTTATACAGCTTGAGATCAAAGCTCGAATGAGAAAGCTTAATGTAACAGGAAAGAAGAATCTCTAAATTCCCCAGTTAAAATGGATTTCCAGTTTTTATTCGGAGTAATCTGCGGTCTGTTGACACCAACTAAAACAAGCCTATCCTAAAAACTACTATCCTTATGCATTTAGGTATGACTGACAGATGCTGTAGATTAGGCTCCATTAATCAGCCTACTAGCGGGCATTCACTGACTACATTCAAGTTTAGATGACGGGAAGATGCAGACAAGAAACAAAATAACTTTTTTCAATGAAGTCTAGAGCGAAATGGAAAACAAACTTCAAAGTCATATTTATGTCGAAATTAGAAAAGTATTGTAAGAATTACTAACCAGTATTCTAATAAAAAGTAAAATAACGTTTACACTATGAAATGGTATGAAGAAAAACGATTGACTAATTCGGTGTCATATCAAGAAAGAACAGAGACTGACATACCGAAAGTGACATGGATAATCGAATGATAGGTATTAGTAAAATGATATTATCGATTAAAGTGACAGTGACCTCAGGGAGCTAAAGTGAATCACAGTTCGCTTACTAGCTTATTATCGTACTTTCAATGAAATAGGCTCTGATTTAGAAACAAGAAAACCGACTTAATATAGTATCGTCATACATAATCTGTCTATTAATTTACAGGAAACCAACGGTAAGAACGAAGTTTACCAGATAGCGAATAATGTCTTACTAGTTGTTTTGCCCCATCCACACAACTGATAAAGAAGTACGGCACCGCTCATTGGGCCATCATCAGATAACCCTAGGAAATGAAGTACCAGAAAATAAATATGAAACCGATAAATGTGCACACTGGTTATATCTAGATGCGATCGTATAACTTTAAATCGATATCGCCGAAAACAAATTTGTTCTATGAAGTCTTTCCTTCCACTGTGGTGCAATGGGAGTATTTAAATCAGAAATAAGTAGATGTTAAGTGCACACATTCATTTTTAAAAGAGCACCAAGTGATTGGGTCATTTCTACATCTGATCCCATTTATCCATCCCAAAAGTTTCTGAATTTCCTCATTTCACCAATGACAGTTAAAATTTATGTTAGAATCTGCCTTTCGTCGATCATTTACCATTTTTCTTTGAACTCAGCCAGCATTTATTATTGCCAGACAACTTTTGGAAGATTAAATAACGTACCCAAGAAATCTAGTGTGCTTAACACCTCTAAATGATTTACCTACTTTATTAGCAGCTTTTGTCAAACTACTGCGCTCCTCTGCAGCTGGTCCAACCAGTTGTGAGAAACGTTTGATATGCAAAGTAGCCGAGTATCAATAACTTCCTGTCATTTTATACCATCTTTCCATAGTGAAACGCAACAAGGGTAACAAATGTACTGAACACCTAACATTTAATGCAGATAAAATTACTGTTAAATGAAAACTAAATATTTATCACTAAGAATATTCTGTGTTCTCGCATCATAATCACTACATAGCTCTAAAACATCGGGGAATATCAAACGAAATATATGATTATGAAACCGATCTCTAAATAGTCTCGGTCACAAAAGCAGGTACACAGATGAGTTGAAAGTGTGTGTGAAAGAAAGAATATTGTGACAAACAAACATAATTATGGCAGGCGCAGAAGGAACAGGTAGTTTCGTCTAAGTTCGTGCAAATTCACGTCAGAGGCTCAAGGATTAGTGTTTTTAACAAACAACCTTAACGAGACGATAATCTCATTATTAGAGTCACGGTAGTGAATGAAGATGTTTGCGTTTATTACAGGAGCCAGTGAAAAGTATGAATCTTGTGAAACCTCACATATAAAAGACTGTCTAACTCATCAAAGTTTACGGCTTTAGTAATTATAAATTCAAACCTTGCAGATAGTGTTGGGAATATTTGCAAACACCGGTGACAAAGAAGTTTGGTTTTTTTAATCTTTGGAACAGTAACTGTTTGGTGAGAAACATACTCAGATTACACGTTTTTCTAAATTAGATCAAAGTTATTATTATCGTATTTCTATATCTCTGCTCACCACTTATGCTATAGTTCTCTTTTATTGTAATATCTTTCTACATTAATGACTTTCTGCATGATGTTGTTAATAGGGCAGTTTGAATCAGTATATTCTGTGAGATGTACACTGTTATGTCTTTCTGTCTTTATAAACTGCATTTCAGCTGCAAAAAACGTGCGGATACTAAGATATCACTTGGCTACATAGTCCACAAGATTATTTCAAAAATGCTGAGAAACTGAGATGCTTTTATTGACGGAAAAGGTCTAAATTTAGCCACCCACTGCGTTTATTTTTATCAAACCTTATCGCAGACTTTTGGCGAATAAGATTTATTTACTAACTTTTTAGGAACTGATCTACCAAGACATGAAGTGTTCACTGTTATCACTACGATAAATACAAGAAGACACTTATTTTTGTACAAAAATTCATCGGCCCACACTGCCACGCTTCTGAATAGCTAAGAAAGAGAGCTAACGAGCGAGAAACATAAAATGTTTATGCAGTAAGAAGTAACAACAGAAAGAACTAATACAGTAATAAGATGTCTAAGATTTTAAGGAAGATGTTAAGTCGATGCTAGTTTGTACTTCATAACATGAATCTGATGAACAGTTAGTGATGTGCTTATGAATCAACGTGTTGTTAATGTTTAGTCACTACAGCGGTGAAGATTCATCTACACCTTAACCCCATCTCTAAGCACTTTTCGTCTGGTTAATTTATTCCGTCGACTGACTTACTTTCTTTATTCCGCTAATCAGTGGCGGACTGGACTTGTGTACTACTGTGAAAAGTTTCATAGTGACTACACTGCAGAGCACTAATACCATTAGCTGATCTCGAATATTCATATTTGTCATCGCCTCAGCTGTCGACATGATTTTCGACAGTGACCTATTTCTTAACTAGAGTGGATTAAAACTAAAAATGACAACCAGAAAGAAAAACTGTGTGTGTGTGTGTGAGAGAGAGAGAGAGAAAAAAAAAGAAAGTGGAAATTTTATGGAGATTAAAATAAGGATTAGTTTATAAGGTTGTTGTCAATCAGTTGCTTAAAACATGAGACCATATATTTATGCTTTGCCGTCAAGTTGTCAGACATTAAATCAACAGAAGATACAAAGCGCCTAAATGAAAGACAGAAAATGTAATCAAAATTCGTAGAAAGTCAATCGAAGAGAAGATGGGATTAAGCAAACAATGAAGTGTGATATAACGATCAAGATGAGGATAACGTATTGATGATCTGCTCAACCGTATACTGTTGAAAGTCACGCAAATGCACATTGCAGCTTTATTGGTATTTTAAACCAATTTCAACCCGATATTTCCTGTAGCTTGTCTAACAGTCACATGTGATGATTTCTGACCAATCAGACAAACATCTGACGCAAACATGAATCAAAAAGTGATGTCTGATCAAATCATTAAAGATTGCGTATGTAATAATATTCTTATCGGCTACTTATGTTCTCAGTCCAGCTTTAGAACAATCACATCGAAAACCAACAATCCTCAAAGAGCTGAGTGACAGGCTTCAAGCAGATGCTCCCTGGGCTTTGCGGTCACACAAATCTTTTTTTCTTACCAGTACCCTAAGAAATAACCTTCCACAGTGTGGGCAGCCGGGAAGTGTCAACCACCCGCACGCTCCTAGTGGTACACACGACCCAATCAAACACAACCTATCCTCCTCAACCTTGTCTCCTTTTTTGCCTTTACCTCCTGATAAAAATACTAAGTCCAAACTCTCAATCTCCAGCCATCTCCAATGATCAAAGTCATCGAAACCTCATTCTAGTCTCCTAAGACTCTGCCATCGATTTTATATTGCATCGTTCAACGTTCGAACGATATGCTAAATCGGATAGCAAGCACCGCTCCCCAAAACTCTGGAATCCCTAGCAATGGATTTATGTTGTCTCTGAGACACGAATACACAACCCCGAATGCGGTTATTAAATTGACCTCACCTGGCCACTGCAGTGAATCTCCAAAATTTATCTAACGAGCATCCGGAGACACAGTTACTAGCTGTCATGGACTCCCTGGTGTAGGCATGGCGTTGAGCTATAGAGCAGAAAGTGTGCTTCTCAACTGGATACCAGTCAACAGCCGTCTATTTGTTGCCCGACTGAAAGTATCTGTAAGAACTAGGAAGAATTATGAGACCAACCGATACTTATCTTTAATCTTCGCCTACGCACCCACAGACCGCACTTCGGATGGTGTAAATGATGAATTCTATGAGCTGTCAATTTTGCTACAGAAACCAAAACGTTCAGATACAGTCACAATGGCAGTTAACATCAACGCTCGAGTGAGGAAGCTGAACCAATCAGAAAGGCGTCTTTGGGGTATTCACGGAATCCCATTACAATAAACCAACAACGATGGCAATCATTTGTTTCTGATCATCACTAACTTTAGACAGAATAACAGACATTGTCTCACTTGGCGTCCACTGACTTCAAACCAACGATGGACACAGATAGATCATACTGCTATAACCCATCGTTGGAGGAGGATTTCGCTCTTTCTAGAGTACCTGTTTGGATTCCAACAAGGCGTTGGTATGGGCTCGCATATGTCTGCACCTTAGTGGTAGCAGGAAATAGGCAATAGTAAAACTCGACCGAAAAAATGAGGACGTCAAGTACTCATTCAGGGAAAAGTTAGCTAGGTATTTATCTGGACTGACAGCAATGCTTATCCTGAGAAAACCTGGAGTGACATTAAGTCTGTTTTAAAAACAGTGATAAAGACAGTTGGTAACCTACACAGAAAGGTTAGCAGACGTTACTGAATTTCCGCAACATCATCCGAAGTGATTGATGCGAGAAGACTGATTCCGGTTGGCTCTGACTACAATGAAGAGCGAGAGCAACTTAGACGTAAATTGACCGAGTCTTCGCAATAATCGCAAGCAGTGGAGGGTGGCGAGAGTGAGAGAGATAGAGAAGGCATCAGCGCCAGGAAACACAAAGCACCTATTTATGCTCATTTAGAATACCGATAAGAAAACGGTTGGATAGTGAAAACATCACCGAAAAGAATTGGACGCTGGTAACCCAGAACGCACAGCTATAACCTTGGGTGGAACACTTTGAAGCACAAACCAACTGGCCTACAGTAACGCTCCAGTTGCTCAACATCCAGCCTGAACATGAATGGGATGTAGATGTCGGTCCCCTAACTCTCGTCAAGGTTGAGAAGGCTGTATTGAACCTGAAACGATGAAGAACAGCAGGACCTGATAGTTTGCCACCTGAAGTTTTCAAGAATGAAGGTAGGAAGTTGCTGATAAAAGTGAGAGGAACTAAATAGTGTACGGGAAACAGAGGTAGAGCCGTCAAAGTGCTGTACTTCACTGACCATCCCAGTTTATAAGATGAGAGAGAAGTCTTCCTGTGACAACCCCAAGCGAATGGGTTTGACTAACATTGTATCCATACTGGAGCCATTAGTTATCCAACGCCTCACTAATCCTCAAGAACAGCAAACTTAAGAAAACCATGCAGGTTTCAGACCCGGTCAAGAGTGCATTAATCAGATTTTTTACACTACAACAGGTTCTGGGACACAGGCATACTTACCGGCCAATGGCCGACACTTACCATATTTCTCGACCTGAAGGTGACATTTGACTCTGTCGACCGCGAGGTGTTGTAACAATGTCTGAAAGTGAGGGAGGTACCAAGCAAGTACATAACGCCTACCGAAGCTCTCTACTCGAACTCACACAGCCGCGTAACGGTTTATGGATAACTGTCATCAGAAATGACGACAACTACCAGTATCCACCAGAGATGTCTACTGTCATTGTTCCATTTAACATCGTAAAAGCCGTACTAATGTACAGAAGGTTTCTTTGGCATCTACCAACTGGAGATATATTTAACTACTTATTAGAGGAGGAGTATACTGGGGTTGCATTGTATTCTATCCTGTTATAGGGCTGCAAGATATTACTGATGAAAGTAAATATGAAGCGGTTACAGGATTTCGATCACAGGTGTCTTGGAAGCACTGCTCGTATTTTGAAGAATCACTGTAGGAGCAATGTAGAGGCCAGACGAAAGGTACCAGGCAGGAAAGACAAGTCAATTGATGAGGTTGTGAACTTTAGTTGATTGAGATGGCTAGGGCATGTAATGCGTGTGCTGAGCCACTGTCTACCTCGACATACCATGCTGAGTGAAGTTGGATTGGGTTGAAAGAAATTTTAGGGGGGCCAGAACAAGACGTGGCACCAGTCGATGAAGCCTCTGGTTGTTGGTCTGAGCTGTGTAGGAAGGTGTAGACTCCCTGGTTGGGTCCTTGATACGATAGGAACCAGTTGTTTAGGACTCTTGCGGATATGGATGAAAGTCGGTCATGGTAATGTAATCACTCTTTGACGTTTCCTAGGCTTGAATATTTGTGCTAACCTTTATCTTCAGATTGTTTATTCCCTCACATAACTTTGTTTACTACTATGAAACGTAGAAACTTGAACCGATGCCCTAATGAGTAAGGTTCTACGTTGATTCTTTCAGTTTATCTATTTGTTTTGTGCTACTATGGTTGACGCTATAATCCGATTAGTTATCTTTTAAGTGATACTGAGTCTGTTACTGCAAACAGCTTTAACTCTTCGGTGGCACTACTGACCAACTGTTGGGTTGGACTTTCGGGACTGCTTGAAATGTAGGTATTGTGAATAATTTTCTTGTTCTTTTTGGATCACTACGAATTATTAGATCTGGCAATATTACACGTGGATATCAGTTTTTAATTCAATTTTAAAAATAGCGAATTCCAAATGCAGTTAACTTAGTTGCATAATTCATAATATTTGCATCCTACCTTAAGGGTGCTGTGCAGTAACAGATTTTTACAAGATGTACAAGCACACTATGAATTACAAACAATGCAAAACCTAAGCATAATACACATAAACTAAGTAATAGGATTAATCACTGTCCCTAATGTTTTGAAGTGCTAACAAACTCATTTATAGGAAATGTTACATTTTACAGCTAGTGGAATACCTTCGACTAGTTTGCAAACTATTTCAAAATAAACGTGAGTAATACTTCCGACAACTGCATTTACCTATAAATCATTTAAGTTCTTATAGAGTTAACTATGTGATATCTGACTAAAACGTTCCAAACTGATGAAACGCATATTTTCTTTAGTGAAAACGAAACGTCATAGATGTGTATGAATAGACCAGATTTCCAGATTCTTATAATATTGAGCATAATCACAGGATGATGTCAATCATCTAAGGCATAGGTTAGAAGAGAACTTACCAGCCAAATCACTTCCTAGTAGCTCACCAGGAGGTTGAGGAATTGTACATGATTCATCGTGACCTGAAATAATTAAATATATTGCGTGATTCGTCTAAAACACTAGGCAGAAACCGGAGGAAAAATATCATACATGTAATGTAAGTAGAATAGTCTTCAAAGATTACAACCAAGCGCTAAATGTCTGACGTACAAGACATCTGTGTACACATATATATGAGTTAAAATAACCCTCCTGATTCTTTAATCCACTATTTTTTAAAATCTAGAATATGACGATCATATGAGAAAAGAAACCAACTGAGAAAACAGGTTACGACTACGAATATAAAAACTAATAGAGGAACCCTGAAACTTTAACTAGAAAAAGCACTACTGAATATCATGAATTCCGACTGTTCATCAGATGAATAACCAAAAATATTTTAGGGTTGAAAAATGACCTACTTTTTACATCATGTCCATCGTCTTCCGGTAAATCAGCCTGTGAGAGTTCATCGAAACACGGTTCTGAAAGACTTGATAAGAAGGTATAATATTAAAAGAAAACAAACGTAGAAATATTCAGAATTCCACCGGAACTATAAAGTTCAGGAGTTGTTTCCATAATAAGGCGCATTATTCTCTGCCGTTCTGTTTCTAAATCTATGATTAGTGTGTACGTAAGCATGATAAACTAAACTACCTGAGTCTAAAACGCAACTGAAACGATTCAGTTGATCAATCCCTATAGCAGGGTCACACATCCGATCTTGAAGACCAGCATCAAAACATGCATTATCTGTTAGGTAACGACTTTGAGGAAGGCACTGCTGATCCAGTTTGTTCTTATTACACATTGATCTAATACGCTCAACATATTCAAGGTAAGCACGAAGAAGATTAGTATAAAGACCATGTAAACGTTGGTAGTCTCTCTTCATTTCCGCTTCTTGATCTTCAAACCGCGAAACTTGGTACAACATTAACAAGGATTATGGCACTTACTTTGCTCATTTAAACTCTTTACTTTGTTTTCAAGCATACGAACACTTGCATCATAAGCCAGACTTCTTTCTTCGTGCTGCTTACGCTCCTCCTCTAGATCATCTTCCATTCGGAAAAGCTTCTAAAGTATTCAAGGAAATATGATTACATCAGTGTAACTAACATTCTCAGCAGCCTTTCTTAACTTCTTTTCTTTTTCATATTCGCTAGAAAGTAGCTTGTGGTCGTCACTAAGAACAAGTGACTTGAGATGAAGGTCAGCATTTTCCAAGTGTAAGCTGTCCAGATTTTCCAGTGCACGGATTACCAAGGGCATTAAATTATGAAGGAAGCCATTTCCATATAGCTTGATTAGGGACTCAAACTCTTTATATATTTCATTAGCCAGATCTTGAACATTCTGCGATATTGGTTGTGATCCGTCATTTGTGCTGCTAATAGCATCCTCAGGATCGTCCAGTGATTGCAGATGTCGCCTAGACTGCAAATGATTTGCCATTTAGCCAAAGGTCATTTTTGAAAAGCCACCCTGTGTGTCCTACAAAATTCCAATATCCAATATGTTTTTATGAGCTAGGGTAAACCAGTTGATTTCTTCGCGCTTGCTTTTAGGCCTTGCGAGTGGTTTCAGATCTTTAGTGGATTCCGATGCAATACGTCTACTCATTCGATTGCTGTAGCTTTGGTTAACCTGACGGGCGGTTGGGTGTTGGTTAAATTTGTAGGGAGTATATTGATTCAGATGGTTGAAGGAATAAAAGCCTCCTCTCGGCAATATCTAATATCCAATATTGATAGTACCAGAGTAGAAAACTGCTAGTTTTTGATCTCTTATGTCTAGTTCTTATGGCTTGGTTTGGGTTGTTCGGTTCACTGCCACAATGGAGGAGGAAATCTCATCAGCTTTCTTTCCTTTAGCTCCGGTGATTTGGATGTGGGTCAGCAAGCTGCAATTTGTAGAGGGTTTGGGGAGCTACATGTTTCTTAGAAGTTAAGGGACTGTCGTGACTCCAGTCAGTGTAGGCACCTGAATGAGAATAGTAAGGTAGTTGTAGAGAAAGAAAAGAAAAAAAACTTTTGTGGCAGTCGCCCGAGAGGTAAAGGCAGGCAGCGCGGGTTTATTTTCAAGAGCTAAATTGGTAGGTAATGGGGGTGTATTGGGGAGAGAGATAGTGAATGGTAGGTAGAAGGGGTCACGGTGGTCTGGTGAGTTTAGTGAATACGTCCCTGGATGGCCATATGAGTGAGATAACTGTCTAGACGCCCCCTGAATGAGTCATCTGAGGGGGTTAAGACGATGTGCCGTGGTAGGACATTTCATAAGGCATATACTGTCAGGGGAAAAAGCTGGATCTGAGCGTGGTATTGGCTCACTGATTCCTATCCTATCAAGGTTTCCTCTTGATGACCGCTATGTCGTAGGCAAAGCCAAGTTAGTTGTGGGGTTTGCCTGGCGGGGATCCTGTAGGCCACCATAAGATCACCCCTCCCTGCGATAATCCAAGGTGAATAGGTTAAGGTGCTCTAGTCTTTTGGGTATCTCCCCTTCAGCCCCATAACTGATTTTGTTGCAGACCTTCGAATTTTTTCAAGTAGGTCAGAGTCTGTCTTGAGCTTTGGGGAAGCCGCCGTATCAAGGACCTCTAGGAGTGGCCATACGTAGGATTTGGAAACTGCGGGGAAGAGTTCGGGGTGGCGGCACCAAGCTGTTTACTCAGGAAGTGGGAAATGGGGTTCGCTCTGGTCGCTATATCTTTGTAGTTGGAGCTGGTGTTCAATATTTCGGAAATGTTGAGCCCCAAATCTTTCTCCATCGACACTGCGGTGATAGCAGGGTTGCTGAACATGTACTGGTGGTCGGCCGTACTTGTTTCATATTTACTGATGTGCATTGCTTTGCCCTTTTCCGGGTTGAAACTCAAGCCGTTTTCCGACGGCCAGAGTTTGAGTTGCTACAAGTCATTTTGTAATGCTGTGCAGTTGGCTTCTTTGTTTACTATCCTCCAAATCTTAGTGTCGTCAGCGAAGAGCAGGATGGATGAGGATGGTTTATGTGACGGGTCACTGACAAACAAGAGGAAAAGAAGTGGTCCCAGGATTGCTTCTTGAGATACTCCTGATATCATGGTCTCCACTCCGACCTTATTCCGCTTACTTTGCTGCAGAACTGCCGCCCTTTAGGTACTTGTTGAACCATGACAGTAGGGTTTACTGATACTGGCTGACATGATCTTATGAAGCAGAGCTGTGGGTGGGACACTGTCAAAAGCCTTGGCTAGGTCGAGAAAACAATATATACCGGTTTTCGGTTGTTCCGGCTGAGTGTCCAGTCGTTTCAGGCGGTTGGCAAGTTGCTGGGACATGAGCAACCACTCCAAAATACATGCCGAGCTTTGTGGATGGTGTTTTCTCTGCTGTGAAATTCCCTGATAGTGTCGGCCATCGGGCTTTCTAACCCTTTCGACAGTATGGGGAGTAGGGTAGTCGACCTGTGACTGCCGGGGCTTTTTCTTTCTCCTCCCTTGTTGGTGGGTGACGAGGTGGTGAGCTTTCATTCCTTAGAATGTTTGCACGACTCTACTGAGCGCTCAAAGAAGTTGCAGGTTGGTTTTGCAGGCAGCTTGACGCAGTTTTTTAGGATTACTGGTTTTAGGCCATCGCAGCCAGGGGAGTTGCCCGGACGTAGCCTAGATAGTTTCTCCGACGCTTTTTTCTCTGACTGAAATATGCCAGAGGTATTCGTCGTTTATTATCTGGTAAGTGTCTTAGGGAGTCGTCAATTTGGTGTCAGCACCAAGTTGGGATTGGAATTGTGAGCGCAGAAGCACAGTCCCTAAACAGACTGTTACACTTCCATCAGGACCTGTGATAAGATTCACTTCCTTGCTTGTTGACTTCCTCCTCGACATGAAGCGGTACAAAGTTCGAAACTAAAATCTGAAACTTTAGGTCATGGAGTTAGTGAAGGATGGTTCTTTGAGTTGTACACCTATCTTTTTACGATACATTCTTGGTGCGGGATGGCGACAGTTGTTAAATATAAATTTCACATGCTGATGAAAAATGCCGTAATCAAACTCCCTAAAGTTCGTGAAAGAAATCCTAGAACTCTATAGACCTCGTTGGTTCCAAGTCGACAAAGGACAGAAGCCCCAAGTGTGTCATTCAAAGTAACTCCCAGATCTTTTTCAATGTTTGAGTGACAGACATCTATTCCGCTCAGCGAATGAGAACTGGAATCATAGTTATATTCGTCAACAGTCATTGTCCCGCACTTCTCCGAGTTGAGAGAGAAAGGAGGTTTACAGCAGCCCAACTAATGATTTCGGAAAGGTCCTCATAGAGGACCGGAATATCCGTTAGGTCCTGGATTTCCCTCTAAATCTTCAGACCATTAGTATGTAATAGTGAATGAAAATTGAAGGTTCCTGCTAGGTCACTGATAAAGGCAAGAAATGGTAGTGAACCAAGAGCAGAATCCTGACGCACACTGTGCAGCACCAGGAATGAATTGGGCAAAGTACCACCTCTAAATGAGTGTAACCTACTGTAAGGGTTCCAAACCTATATAACCTAGCCCCCCCTATAACAAAGACGCCTGGCAGATGTGCAGCTGTCCCTCCAAATTGATGGAAGCTGTTTCAATATTACTGAGATGGTAAGTTTGCCACCTCAGAGTTGCTGTGGAGATTCCATAACCCAAGGGGGTCCTGCATACCGAGCGCAATGTTACTCCTTTGTTTCGTCGGTGAGTTGAGTGCCCCACAACTTCACTCCAGAGTTCTGCACATATTTGGCTGGTAGGTCACTTTGTCACTCCTGGTTTTTATGGTTTATCTGCTACGGATTTCCTTGTAATTTTCCTGGTCATTAGAGCTACGGTGAACCGTCATTGCCTTTGGAGGACTATTTGCACCGAAAGAAATTACACGTTTGACTTAATCCAGGAGGAGTAAGCCTCATTGTTGGTTCTTGGGACCAGAGGAGTGCCACTATTTATCGCATGAAGGATTGCACCCCTTCACAGTTTCCATCTGGAATGCAGATCCCAGTTGGAACTTTTACATCCTGTCAGACCTTTTCAAAGGCCATCTAACTGTATTTCTTGACTGACGACCGACCAGTCACAAGTTAATTAGCCATAGAAATGCTGAAGGTAATCCTCACAGAGTACGCCGAGAAATATTCTCAGTCAGCGAGTTTTCCAATAATCCCTGGAATTCTCTCCCGATAGTAGATGAACTTTTAGTGTTGAAGAGCTGAGGGAAGTTAGAATCTTTGATGGTGAATACCTGGGGGGAGCTTAAGTCCAGAGCTTCTTTAATTAATTGCATCATCTTGTTCAGCTTAGCGGTGACGCCTAGGGAGCGCTTCGACATTTCAGCTAAAGAAGGACATCCACAGTATTTAATGCTGCGCTGCAGTACATGTCCAGTGTTAATTCTCTGGAGGAGAGCCTCATGGGCTTCCCGAGAAAAGTGAGCGAAAACAGCAGCGCTGCCTCCTGACCTACCTGACAAGTCTGTCAAGACAAAGATGAGCTACCCTAGACGGGTTTAGTTACTATTTATGTCCTCTGCGAGCCATGTTTCGCAGAAAGTTACCGTGTCGGGACCATCCTATTCATCCAAGAACCCTAATACAGGTAACGCAGAGCGCTGGCCACGCACATTGCTGCAGACACGGAGAGTGATAGTATAAAGACCAGAAATTTTAGAAACGGGCTAAGTCGGGGAGAATGTGTTGCCAACCGTCTAATCATTTAACCGATAAGGAAGGGGTACCGGGGTAACTGCGTTCATCTATCTGCTTGGTCAAGAATTGTCTCAAAGTGTCCATTCCACGACGAGGTAGAGAAAAACTTGTTCACTGTCGAACTGTTTGATCGGTAAACGCGGGTTGGCAGCCTTCCTCTGTACCATGAATGTACGCTAGTTTACCCTAATAACTCCTGCTAACGCATGAGATTTGTTATACCATGGGTCCAGAGTTGTTTTGGCCACTCTCTTTGGGATTGATGCCACAATTAAGATTCAGTAAGTGACGGTTTGTGTTTCCAAGGGCTTTCAAGATGTTGTGAGCCACTACCAAGTCCCTCTGGTGACGTGATAGTTTCCAAACCCGTCTTCTCTGTAGCAAACTGTTTTCAACTGAATGGTTTCCTACCAAATGTTAGACTGAGGTCCTCCGTGAGTATCTGTGTTTAGTTCTTCAAAACGCCTGCCATGAACTTTAGTTACAGATGTGAACATGGCCCATGTAAACTGCTTGGTTTTCATGATGTCGGTTTTACTGATAGTCGCGCATCGTAGAATTTTATGAGTATGACTTATCTCGGTGTGTTTTTCTTCGGACCTCCTATGGTCATCCCATATCTTGCCCATTTGCAAAAGAATTGCTTACCCAGTTTTTCATATTGGGAAGCTGACAGTGTCTGACATAATTCAGTCTCTCCTCATGTGCTCCATAAACTCTTGTATCTTGCCCGTTCCCTCTATCATTTGCCTTTATTTTTATTTCGGGTTA